CAGGCGCGCGCTACCACGCCCGGCTGATTTTTTTATTTATTGTAGAGATGAGGTCTCACCTGCTCGGGCGGGTCTTGAACCACGGACTCAGGCAATCCACTCACCTCAGCCTCCCAAAGGCACGGGATTACAGGCTGAGCCACCGAGCCCAGCTCAACCAAAAAGCTATTAACAAGGGTGCCTGAACGATACACATTTGTATACCTAACCCTTAACTGTACCCCATGATTTTATAATAAAAAATGTTTAATATTTAAAAAAAAAACCAACAAGCAGTGTAGCATCTTGCGTTCTCTCTCTCCCTCTTCCCATTTCTCCTGACTACTACAGGTGTATTATGAAAATATTAAGCCAGATCATTTTTTCAGGTTCTTAAATTCCTGAATCTAGATCTTTAGCTGAAGAAAAAACCTTTTCCCATGATTTCTACCCTCTGATGTCCAATTACATAAGAAAAATGGGCTTCTTGTAGCAAGTTAAATGCTATAGAAGTAAAACAACCTCATCAATCTCTTCCCCTTCAAACCCAAAGTAGTTCAGTTGATGGACATTTGTCTCTGCTTATGCTACTTCATGCATTTAAATACTGTTGTTTTTATTGGTATTCATGCAGATTGCCAAGAAGAGAAGTGCTGTTGCTTTTAACATAAATAAGATTACATATTTTGCAATTAATTTTTCATCAAACTCATCTTGGGCCTTACCTAGTAAATACATTGAAATCTCTGTTCTAGCAAAGCTGCTAACCACTCCAGCCAAATTGCCTGGGTTGGAATCTGCCATTCTTTGAGCAAATTAACTTCATTTCTCTCTGCCTCAGTTTCCTTATGTATAAAATATTCTTCATGGGCTGCTGTGAGAATGAAATGTATGCATGTGAGCTGCTTAGAACAATGCTTTGTACTAATTTAGTTGACAGTAGGTGGTATCTGTTATTTTTAATACGGACGTAATAGGCTATTTTGTATGGCAGTTCCCCAACTTAACCAATAGCTAGGCATGAGTACTTAGTTTGTTGGTGGTTTTCTGCTATTAGAGTAATGTACTGAACATTCTTTTTGGGGGGGTGGGGGTTGAGTTGGAGTCTCACTCTGTCACCCATTCTGGATGGCAGTGGCACGCTCACGGTCACTGCAGCCTCGACCTGCTGGGCTCAGGTGATCCACCTCAGCCTTCCAAGTAGCTGGAACCAAAGGAACATGCCACTTGCCCAGCTACTTTTTGATTGATTACAGAGATAAGGTCTCGCCAAGTTGCCTGGGCTGGTCTCGTACATGTGGGCTCAGGCAATCCTCTCACCTCTGTCTCCCAAAGTGCTAGGATTCTAGGCGTGAGCCACCAAACTTGGCCCGTTTTACTCATTTTTTTTTCCTTAGTTGGTTAGGAGTTCATTTTGTACTAAAGATATTAAGACAGGTTTTTTTTGTGTTGCAAATATTTTCTCCCAGTGTTTGTTTTTTTAACATGGTTTATATCTTTTTGTTGTACCACATTTTTTTGGCAGTCAACTGTCAGTCTATGTCTTCTGGATTTCCTGTCTTGCTTAAAAATACCTCTCCCATCCTGAAATTGAAGTTATACAAATATTGTAAATTTTCTTGTTTTCATCAAGTTGCTTTTTATAGTCAGGTCTTTACCTGAGATTTCATTGGCTATTGTGATGAAAAATTCTGATTTTTGTTTCCAAAGATGGAATTAATAGCTCTGCTGAAGAAATCAGATGTGTAAGTAACAGTTTCCCAAATCCTATGGATCAAAAAAAAAAAGTATGTTCCTGCAGAAGAAGTTGGTCAACAGAAACTCAAAGCTTTTGTTTTTTATTAAGGGCCTGAAATCTGCTTAAGTACCTGGGGAAGTATTGATTGGTTTGGAAAGGTACCTGAGTTTAATACCATTGAGAACAAAAGCTGCTTTTATAACTTCTCAAGTATTCACAGTGTTTTCCTTACTACTTTTTCCCCTGCCTGTGTTTTCCTACTGCTATTGAAAAAAAAAAAGTGTCTCTTACTTGTAAACCAGAGATACGGTTCTTGGTAGTGTTTTTTCCCTTTCATAATTGGTTGTGTTGAAGATTAATACACAGACATTTTGATGTGCACACAATTCTTAGCATACATACCAAAAATCTAAAAAGCCATGTATTGCAATTCTTCTTTAAACAGTTATTCCAGTGACTTTCCAGCTTAAAGTCTGGGGACAAATTTTCCTTACGAACATATCAAGTACCAGTATCTTAAAATGTTGATAGCTATGCCGGGCTCGATGGCTCAGCCTGTAATCCCACGCCTTTGGGAGGCTGGGGTGAGTGGATTGCCTGAGCCCGCGGGTTCGAGACCCACCTG